TATGGGTCAGAGGAAAAAGGCTCCGCACACCAGCTACTTCCTTTGGAGAGGACAAATGAGCTATTAAGGTTAGAGACCCTCCGTCATCCCGCCGGGCTGTGTTCAGCGGCTGGGGGAGGACTGTGCTCATCACTGCGGCGGTCGGTGTCACTAGTAGACTGTGCGAGGGGTGGGGACTAAGCCTTCCCCTCCGCGCGGCACCGAGCTATGGAGATGCCTGCGCAGTACTTGGCTCGGTGTTCACCTGGGTGCCTCTCGGCTCCCTTTGGAGCCCGAAGACGGCCCCCGGCCTCGGGGAATCTTCAGTCTAACGCGAGGGCTGCGCCGTGGGCGCACAAGCTCCGGATGGCACCGGTGCAGCGGGGATTTGGGGAGGGAGGCGGGCAGGGAAGGGGAAGAAGGGCTTCCCTGCATAAGCTACCCAGGTGCCTCTGGCCAGCAGCCGGGCGCTGCGGGCAGAGCTGGGGGCGGGGAGGGCGGGCGCCGAGGGGCCCTCCTCCCCGAGGCCGTGGGTCTCCCTGGTGGGCCCAGGGCTCATCGGCCAGCTGCTGCCCAAGTGGTGACCCCGTGGGGCCCGCGAGCCCACCTGCCTCCGACCGCGGGGCCCAGGGCGGGGCGCAGCCTGGCACTTCCGGGGGCGGGGCAGTTCTCTGGCCGCCTTCACTTCCTCTCGGCCGAGGCGGGCGGGCTCCGGAGCTCACACTGCACCGGCCCGCACCACTGCACCCGCCCCGCACCGCAAGCCCGGCCCTCGCGCAGGTGAGCGCCCGGAGCAGGGTGCGGGGGGCCGGTGGGGGAGGGCCGCGGGAGCCAGGGGCGGGGGTCCAGGGGAGGGAAGGCGGGCCATGGGGGGGGCAGGGACCCGCGTCCCCGCCCTTTTCCCCCGCGCTCCGACCCCAGCCCCCGGGCAGGGCACACCCTGCCGATCCAGCGCCTCCCCTCCCCTCCAGCCCCTCTACCTGGCTGCCTCGGGCACCCCGAGCGGGAGCGGACGCGGCATGAAAAGGGCCTCCGGGGCGGCTGTCACTCACCATCCCGTCGCCGAGAGGCTGGTCCAGGGAGCCCGCCGGGGAGGCGGGCCTGGCTGGGCGGCGGCTTCTCCCTCTGACTCCGCAGCCTCTCCCTCTGCTCTCCCCACGGCCTTTATGGTCGCATTTCAGCGGGAACGTGGCTTTCTTAGGGCAGCGACCTGTCAGGCATTCCCTCCAGAGTCATTCATCCAACATCTGCCATGGGCGGGGCACCGCAGAAAGTGCTAGCGACACCATTGACCTGGACAGATTCCGCCCTCCTCCTGGAAATTAGAAATCAAAGCCCACCCTTCGGGAGGGGGAGCTCTGCAGCTCACCCAGGGGGTACCCAGGGTCCGGAATCACCCACCGTCCCAGGAAGTCGCGTCTAGTTGTTTTTCAAGCTTTTGAAAAATTGCCCAAGTCGTAAGCGCCCGTCTTACCCAGTTTCCACACTGAACTTTTCCTGTGCAGCCTGCATCCAGAACAGATCAATAGTGCTCGCTCTCCAGGGGCCTCCCACACCCGCTTCCAATCTCTACTTCCGCCTGGCACCACCACTGACCTGCCTGCCAACCCCAGAAAGTAGTTTCACTTGCTTTTGAACTTTTGGTAACTGGATTCCCATGTCCTGTCCTTTTCGTGATGGCATGCGAGAGTCACCCACGCTTCCTGTGGCAGGCGTTGCTTCTCACTGATGTGTAATGCTGCACTGTACAAACAGACCACAGTTTATTTTTACATGCCACCCGACACTTGGATTGATGGACATGGGTTTTGGTTTTGGGGTTTCCCCCCCCCCCACCCCCCGTTTGGGGTTATTGTAAATAGTGCTGCGAAGAATTCTTGTGTTTGTCTTTCGGTGTAAGCACTTATGCTGGGCTTGTTCCTAGAGTGAAGGTGCTGGGTGTGTACGGTGTCAGCTTTCTATATGGTGCCAAACTGTTTTTCAGTCTGCTCCCACCAATTTACATGTCTCCCTGCAACCTGTGAGTTCCTCTTCCTCCACATCCCTACCAGTCCTTGCTATTGTCTCTATTCCATAGAGGCCATTTTGCTCAGTGTGTGGGTAGTGGGGTTGCTTTGAGGGTGTTTTCGTTTTCTTAATATATTTTTATTGATTTCAAAGAGAAAGGGAGAGGGAGAGGGGGAGAGAGAGATAGAAACATCAATGAGGAGAGAGAATCATTGATCGGCTGCCTCCTGCACGCCCCACACTGGGAATCGAGCCCCCAACCCTGGCATGCACTCTGACTGGGAATCGAACCGTGACCTGGTTCCTAGGTTCAGGCTCAACCACTGAGCTGCACCTGCCGGGCTGCACTGAGGTTTGAATTTGCATTTCACTGATGACTAACGCCTTCTGCATATTTTCATATGTCTGTTGGCCATTTGGAGGTCCTTTTTGTGAAGTGTCTGTTCAATTCTTACACCCATTTTTCTAATAGATTTTCTCTCTTTTACTAGTTTGTAAGAGTTCTTAAATATTCTGAATGTGAGATATTTATTGACTATGTAATTTTAAAATATCTTTTTTTTCCTCTCTCAAAAGATTGCCTTTTCACTCATAATAATGTCTTTTGATGAACGGAAGTTTTTCATTTTAATGTTGTCCAATTTATTGTTTTTCCCTATGGTTGTATTAAGTCCAATTTGAAAAGATATTTTGCTTCTGGGGTAGGGGTGGAGCATGAAATGGGTGAAGGGGGTCAAAAGGTACAAACTTCTAGTTATAAACTAAATAAATCATGAGGCTATAATGTATAGCTTGAGGATATAATGTACAATATAGTTAACAATACTGTATTATATATTTGAAAGTTGCTAAGAGAATAGACCTTAAAAGTTCTAATCACAAGAAAGCAACATTGTAACTATGTATGGTGATATAAGTAGACTTACTGTGACAATCATTTCACAATATATGGATACGTAAAGGGTATGTCAGAAAAAATATTGCTAAGGAAAACGTCATAGATTTTACTGCCTATGTTTTCTTCTGGGGGTTTTATGTTGTTTTCAAACTT